GGTCCAAACTTTTTTCTTGTTTAATAAAACAGTTTTGTTTCCACCTTAGTTGGCATGGATACATGATATATACCTGATATATGCCAAACACGTTTACTAAGTTAAGTTAATATAGCTGCACGAGGTTTGATTTCCTTAAAGAAGCAACTCATTGATGTATATTCGTTAGAAAATCAACTCTCTTCATTCCAACATGTTTGGAGAACTAACATATGTAAAAATTTGTCGGATCAAGATGAGAATTGAGATATAGCATCTCCTCCTTAATTTCGGATCAATTTCGCCTGGGGCACAACTTTGATATAATTCATAACGATACATTTGATGAACTACAACTCAAAATTTTCAAAACAAATTAGTTTTTCAAGTTTTTAGTAGAATATTAATTTCCAATATCATAATTGTTTTTTTTCTTTTCTAATAATATAAACCACATTGTTCTACTTGATTTAGCTCCACATCAACTAGTATAAACTCTATACATATATACACCGATTGTGTCATCTCTCACTCATGTGCGTATTTGAATGCAACTAAGTTTTTGCCAGTCTCAGAGCTACACTTAGCTAAAAGTCTTGAACAGTACCCATTATATCGGCTTAGGTCTAGTTTGCCTACAGCCTTCATTAGGTAGTTAGGTAAGGTGGATATATGTGTGCATTACGCGTACCTAATTTCATCCTGCCTTTGCTTTCATTTGGTATGCGCCACTGCCTTAGTTATAGAACTTAAGCATGTTTGATGCCAGGCAAACCTTGAAATCAGAAGATAAGGTTCTTATTAATTGGCAACCTCCATGTTCCATGTTCATGTTGTCCTACTGCTCCTAGTTCCATGTAAATAGATATATATACATACATCAAGTGATTTTTGCATTGTCCTTTTCTCCACGTGCATATTTCTTTTTTGTTGTCGTCTCTAGATTGAACAAAGTAAAACAAATTAATAAACTGAAATAACGAAGAGAGTGCATGACAATAACTCGTATATATAGTTTCTTTTTTTTTTTTCTCATCAAAGTAGGGGAATTTGATGGACTGTGTACTCTTAAACAATAAGGGTTAGTGTTAAATAAGCACATACATTGGTACTCACTTATAAAGTCACTTTAGCAGTTACTCTATATGTGAAGGTGGTAAAAAGGAACAGTAGTAGATTTGTTTGGAATGAAGATGAATCCAAATAGAATTAATATCTACTCCAATCATAGGGTACGACTCGCATGTGATCACCCACACTTTTTTGAAAGTTGAGTTGACAACACCATAAAATCAAAAACACACCTTACAAACTCGAGAAAATATGATGTATTATCGGTGGTATATAATTATGTGTTTTATTTGGCGAAAGAGATAAACACACAAGTGGAGAGACACAAACTCTCACAAGGACAGAAATATAACCAACACTCATCACCAATGTGGTAGCAACCATGATACTGCATCACGGATTCACAGGGTGCTCTTTTTTCTTTTCTTCCGGGAATAGCTACCTCTTTGACCCTGCAATATTTTTCTGACTAAAGAATAAAACATCACTTCTCTACTTTGAGAAAATATGTAGCAAGAGGCTGAAGAACCTTTCCATTTGTAACCAAGCTACTATATATAATAATTTCCAAATTTCTGGGTCACTATAACCGTTTCTCACCCTTATATTACCAGATAAAGTACTTATTAATTGACTAAATTGATTATCCAGGAATTAATTAAACAACCAAAACTAGTATATACGCGCACACACAGTAGTAAAGGAGACAAAATACTCTAAAATTAGTTCGGCATATCTAATTAGTTAATTCAAATAATTTCTATAGTACAAATGCCCAAAAGAAAGGCTTCTTCTGCGGGAAAGAAAAAACAACTTTCATCATCACTAACATTTCTCTTTGCTATTTACACATCATCGTCATAAAGGAGAAGGGTGGCACAAATCATCAGAGAGAGATCTGGATCATTAACTGTTCGCTGAAAACTTCACTGCAGCTGCGAGCAATGGTTGCAAATTTGCTTCAAGTTGGATTAAGAACAGATATCATCTCTTACTTTCCTGACGTGAGTTTCACACTCTGAACAAACTACGAATGTTGAAGACTTGGTGGGTGGGAAATTAGTCGTGCCAGCAGAGAAGCATGATTACACATCTCCTAATGATGTAGAGCCTTCCTTTCTGTTGTCTAAGATACCTCCCAAGCCTTTTGCATGAAACACTATTTTTCTTGCTAGACTGATCAGCTTCCATGCCTGAACTGCTAAGTTTCATATCTATATATATAGACGTATATATTGTTAATACACAACAAGGAAAGAGTTGGAGAAACAGAGAGATTTATAACTTCTTTGCTATGTTTTGAAAGGAAACTTGGAAGGGCTTCATATAAATAAGGAGAGTGGTGTGGTCCAACGTTCCAAAAGAAAATGCACATATGCAGTTGGCCCCCACCCAAAACCCTACCTAATTTTATGTGCAGGATTCAAAATTTCATGCACTTAAATTTACAATTTTTTTAAATTTTCCAAATCACCCCATAGCCCGACTGACACGTCATCCTCTCACCCAACATTTATGTGGGCATCAACCACCAAGAAAATTGGTCGGCCATTCATCGAAAAGAAAAACCAAAAACAAAAACGAGAAAATAAAATCATCTGAGAAATGAGTTACATTCGTAGATATTTGAGCAATTTGGCATGCCAAACTGCCAGTGTTCCCCAGGCCCTGAATCATCCTTGTCATGTCGTCAACTGCATGCTCAATACAGGAAATCAAGCATAATTGTTATTGACCAAAAATAAATAATTAAAGAAAGCAATAGTGTTAATAATTATTTTCAAGATGAAAATAAATAAAACCTAAAATATTCTGCTCCCTTATTTTTCTGACTTTTCATCATTAGAGAAGGCCTTCCGGGCCCGTGTGAGTTGTCCATTCAATAATTTCTAATTCATTAGGGTTCTTTTAAACGCGGGCATAAAAGCAAGAGTGAAGAATGGACAAAGTTTGTTCTTGGTTAAATCAAAGATTATGTTTCTTCTAAACTGTTTTGTTCATTGTATTAAGTCGCCTAATTTCGTTTTGGATAAGATTGTGAAAATCTCAACAAGGATTTGCGGTTTTTTTGTTTAATTATTCTTTAGGGTTTGTGTTGTACAAAGTACTCCAACTTGTTTACTAACATTTACCATAAGTTTAGGTTTAAGTTGGGAGGGCACGCAATGTCACATCTATATTCACACAAGTGAAGGCTAGCTATCGTCCTTACTCCTTACCCACCATTTTTACTATCTTTGAAGTTGCCAGACATTTCATTGATGTACTCCTCGAGCATGGCGGTCAACTGGCTAAGTTGTGCGATAAAATGCCTCTAAGACCGCGGAGCAAAGTGGAGTGCAAGCAATTCGATCGGTATCTTAGTTAGCTTAGTTAGCAAAAACTAGAAGTGACAAGTTTTGGTATTTTTCATCTATTGCTTAAAAACTAGAAATGACAAGTTTTTTATTTTGTGTTGTGTTGTGTTGAACAAAACCCTGCATTTAAATATATGGAGAAACATATATGCTATGAAATTGAACTTCATGCAATAGAACCTAAAGCTGATGTTTCCGAAGCAATTTACTGCATTCGTTGCTTCCTATCACGAGATGTGTACAACAAAAACGAGAAAACATAATGAGAATGATTTCTGCACATCTATTATCTTCTTCTGCAGATTTACATTCACTACAAAAAAAGGTCTAAGAGCACAGTTGATTTGTGCCCTTTTCAATTTCTTGAGCACATATGTGTATTTGTGCTTTTAAATGTCATAGAACGCAAAAACTATCTCAAATGTGTCTCCTAAATAAAAGGGCACATTAATTGGTGTCACATCCCGATCCGGGAGGACCACATCCCAGGCCCGCTCCACCACCGTAGCACGATATTGTCCGCTTTGGGCCCCGACCATGCCCTCACGGTTTTGTATCTGGGAGCTCACACGAAAACTTCCCGATGGGTCACCCATCCTGGCAATGCTCTCGCGCGCTACTCGCTTAACTTCGGAGTTCCCATGGAACCCGAAGCCAGTGAGCTCCCAAAAGGCCTCGTGCTAGGTAGGGATGGAAATATACATATAAGGATCACTTCCCTGGACGATGTGGGATGTCACAATTGGTGTCTTCAAGAAAGCGTGTTTGTGCCTATTAAAATTTGAGCACACAAAATTGTGTCACTATGTATGGATATCAATAATCATAATTTTTTTTTATTAATTTACAAACACACATAAAAATATTTTCGTGCCTTTTTATCATTAATACTTGTGTGGATCGTGCTTCGGTCATGGATTTGCTAGTGGGGGATGTCCTTCATATTGCAAATTTGTTTACTGCTTCTAAGTTTATTTCCGTGTCTAGGGATAATAACAGTATTGCTCATTGTTTGGCAAAGGTAGCGTTCTTCGTTGAGATAGTTTGGGTTGAGGAGCCTCCTAGTGTTATTTAGAATCCCCTCATCCAAGACATTTTGTAAGTTTCCCAAGCTAATGATATCGTCTTCCTTTCAAGACAAAAAAAAAATTCATTGGGTTTTGAAGACACGATGTTCGTGTCTTCCTACCACACCCATACCCGGCCCCACTCAATTTCAAAAGCAGGCTCACCCACACCCCACTCAGTCTTTTCATTCTCTCCATCTCCCTTACCTTCCTCTTCCACTTGTCCTCCCTCATATTCTTTCTCACCTCTGGCTCTTGAGCTCCATCATTGCCAGAAGCCCTTGGCAGGAACGTTGTGCACGTCATCTCCACAAGAAAGGATCTCGTAATCGGAGGAAGGAGTGGCAGTTTCGGTAATTACGGGGTCATCGAGGGGCGGTTTACGAAGAAGGCGTTTGGACTCACCTTCGTCACAATACTCAAACCTGGTGAAGGAAGGGTTGGGAAGATCGGTGCATGGAGAGTCCGAATCGGGATTCAGGTTGGGATCCGGGTTTGGTAGGGAGGGATCAGGGGAAGGAGGTGGGTAGGGTAGGGAGGCGGTGGTGAGGGAAGGGCGGGTGCGAGTCAGGAGAGGGAGGGAGGGAGTCGTCGTCGTCGTCGTCCTCATCGATTTCGTCGCTGCCGTCCTCATTGATTTCGTGGTCCTCATCTTTTTTTCCAGCTGGGTAATTGTCTTTTTCTTTTTAGCTTTTTTGTGTAATTTTTTTTTAACAAATTTTGCTTTTTTTTTTTTTTTGGTGTGATTCTTTTTAACAATTTTTGCTTTTCTGTATTTGATCCCATAGGAAACTCAACGTCTCCCCGGTGAACCTAGTGAATGATTTTTTTTCCCCACTAAATATTTGGAGCTTGAAATGCCGTGATATACAATGACTATGGCAATGTTGCCGTTGTTGAGATGAACACTGAATCTGATGCTGAGAGAGCCATGTCTGAACATCTCGTGAGCTTGATGCTCGTTTTCTTTAATATCACTTCAAACATATGCTTTGTCTCTTTTGTGTGTGGCTGATTGTATCTAATTTCTTTTGGGTATAACAATGCAAATAGTTGACCCTCAAGGACATAAATGGACTAGTTGATCAGAATGCGCAGCTCAGGAGCCTTGTTCAGAATCTTTCTGACCAGCTTGAAAATAGAGAAATGGAGTTCAAGGTTGGTGTGAGTTTCAATGTTTGTAAGTATGGAGCTTGTTTGTTTAGCTTAGTAGTTAGTGCTACCAGCTTTGCTTGTAAAAACTATTTGATGAGTTTTTGTGAATCTTGAACTACAGGAGAATTTTGAAATGGAGATCAAGAAACACACTGATGAAGCTGCATCTAGAGTGGCGGCAGTGTTACAAAGAGCTGAAGAACGAGGGTGCATGATTGAATCCCTTCACACCTTTGTAAACTCTTCGCGAGTAGATGGAGTAGCATTAAAGTATTTTTCTTCAATGCAAAAAATTAGTGTGGTACAACTTAATTATTTTTTGCAGAAGAAGGAACTGACGTCAAGCTTCTCCTTGAGAGTTCTCAGGTATTGTGATCATGGGATATTGTCCAAGGAAGTGCATGTTTGGTATTGTTGTTACTTGGTAATTTGTACTGCTATAAAATATGATAGAAAATATGAACTAATGTGGGAAGCTACAAGAAAGGCTCAAGACCAGGCTGCAGAACGAGTGAAATGTTTAGAGGAAGATCTGGCAAAGACCAGGTAAACAAAGCTGTTAACTGTCCTTCCTCAGAGATCTTTTGTTGTATCCTTAATTATGCTTTTCATACGTGCACGTCTCTTGGTATTTGTCTAAATTTTTAAACTCTTGTCAATTTTTTGAATAGTTATTATTGTCATAATCTTGGCGCCTACTATTATTCTGACTCGTTACAATCGTCGAGCGGACCAGAACAGAGGCAGTTTTGCTCTCCTTTTTGGTTAGTTTGTTATAAGCTCTGTCAACCTCATGTATTTAGTTGCTTATTCAAGAAGAAAACATGAATTAAAAATAAGCACTAGGAATTGGCTTTACTTTCATAGAAGAAAACATGTATTAGGAATTGTTGTTTTCATTATTCGTATGAATTGATTGTTTGTAGAACTAAATTGTAAAAGCTTGTTTGTAATATTTGAATTTGTTCTTTTTTTATTTTAATATTTTACCTATTGGGCACAAAAACAAAACTGTGCTAACATGGCCTGGAAAAGTCAGTGTTGTCAGAAGTGAGACACCAAAGAACCCCTATTCGTGCTTAGCCTTTGGGCACAAAACATCCTATTGTGTGTTATCATCAAAGGCAACGCCTATGGAGGGCACAAATAGAAATAGTTGTTGCACTGTTGCTATTGGTCTATGGGCACAATTGTTGATGCTTTTTGGCCTTAAGGGGCACATATAATTTATTGTGTGCAGTGCTCATATTTTTTTTTAGCGATTCTTTTTGTTTGATTCCCTTTTTATTTACTTAATTTACAAAATCAGAAATAAATAGAATTGCGAAAAAAAATAATAATAACCATGCGAAAGATCACTTCCGAAACATAAAGAGTGTGGATAGTTTGATGATAAAAAATGGTAATTGATTGGTTCTCCACCAAGGAGAATGATATATAACCGATAATTGTGAAATAACTATAAGACAAATAAAGAAACTCACATTGTAAAGAATCTCAAATGTTTAATATCTATTCAGAACACTCCACAAACCCAAACAAGATGGACCATTCTGCTCAGAATCTGCCAATCTGGATACAGTAATGAGCAATTTTGTACCCATCTTATGTGCTTTCTAGTTGACGGGTGTATGTAGCAAACATCACACAAGACAACGGTGGTCAATTTTGTGATCCTTTAGACCTTGATAGTTCAACCTTTGGGGTCGGATTCTTAGATAAAACTTGATACATCTTTCACATGAGAGATCGGAGATATAAGAACGACTGTTTGGATAGAAGTCCAATATCCAAAACAAGGTTCATGAATGCATGAACCCCAACCAATATAAAAGGAAAATTAACGAAAAGTTCTCAAAAACTTTAGTTTTAATAAATAAGGACAAATAAATGTGTAAGTGAATAGTACCACGAAAGGTAAAAATGTGGTTTTTCGTTAAAAGTGAACAGTACCAGGAATGTTTTGTTAAAACTCCCACATACAAATGGTCTATAAACAATCAGGAATTAGAACTCAATTGGCTAAAGTATTTATCACTTCAGAAGAGGTATCGGTATATCCACTCTCAATGTATATATTTCGGATTTGGATGATTTTTAATAGACATGATCTTTGAGGTAAGAAATGAATGATAGACAGTTGGGTTGTTGAAATACATTACAGAATGGGCCAAAAAAGCATGTATCAAAACGTGTGTCAAAAACGTGTCTCCGAATCCTAACTTACATATATTATATATAAAAAACCACACACTCTTCTCATATTTCATGAAGAAAAAAACACATTGGTCCATTCTATCAATATCAGAGAAGGCAAAATTGAGAACTCTTGTCTGCCACTTCCTCAGAATAAAAACCCCAAGTGAGTACTTCTAAGAGGGACGGTTTCTTAACAATGGTGGGAACGACCTACTGAAAAATTTGGAAGGAGAAGCCGGAAGCGCAATGCAACTTTCAATAATGGAACCCTAACCCGCAGGCAACACTAAGACGTGTCCTGATTTCTACAACGGAATGATCAACTATAGGGAGTGTTGGTGCCAAAACTCTTGATAGAGTTTAGGCATGATATTCAACATGTATTTGTTGGAGTGTTGTTTTCGGTATTAGTGCCATGAGATGGCTCGAGAGAATGCGAGAATAGGCGTGTCACTGTTGGAGGCTACTAACAGACAGTGTTTGTGTTTAAGTGTAAAAGTTACGCGCTAATCTGACTTCTTAACCAAACGATTGTGCGCCTAGTGGGACGCTGGTTTGGCTAGGTTCTTTTTTGTGCCTCGAGTAAAAGAAGACTTAAAATTTAGTGTAACTTTGCATATGCTTGCCTAAAAAGTAAATGAAATCAAAACAGAAACTAGAACAAGAAACAATAATCATTTGATGATGAAGTTGAGATTACAAATGTTACAAAAGTAAAATCTAGGCCGAGCTACATAACTTGAAATGTGAATTGACTGGTAATGTAAAGAAAGTAGTAAACTCTAGCAAGATTCAAGCCATGATGGGTAGATAATGCTAGAAAAGTCCACCAAGATCACTAGTGTTAGATTGGACTTAGTACGAAACATGAGCCTCATAGAGGAAATCAAGGATGTTGGAAATACACATCAACCATATCATACCACGGGGTGTCAGAGCAGTAAAAGTTTTAAACTCAAGGATCGTAGACAGTGTTTGCTTCGAATGAAGGCTTTGAAATTGTAGTTGAAAAGCTATAATAGTTTTGCTAAAAAGCAATTAGTGTGTGCTGAAAAACAATTGGGTTGATTGAAGAATCACTCAATGTTTTGTTTAATAGTAGCGATTAATTTGATGAAGGTCCTCAACTTAAAGGCCTCTGGTTCTATTTATAAGCAGTGAAGAAGGAGCAATCTTGATCATATTGTTGAGCTGGAATAAGGGTAGATCGGTCATTTGGTGCTACCAGTGACTGTAGTTTTTGGTAGGCATCCTTCAGCTGTGTCTTGAGGCGGTTAGCACTATTTAAGTATTGACCTCAGCGTGTTGGATGGCGTGTGCTAGGCACTTTGGGCGCGAGATTTTTTTGGATTTCGGTTGTCTGAGTGGTTGATGACGCGCTTCACTGAAGAACTTGTCCAAGGCTTCAGACATATTGGAGTGACATGAGATGGTTGTTTGAGCCCTAATTTTGGGTTTCAAAGTTGGTGAGTTAGAATCGTGCTGTTTTTGCTAAATAAAAATAGATAGGCCTCATAACAAGCCTTATTTTTATTTATGGCCCAAAGAGGGATTCCCATTTTCTTAGACCCTGTGATCCAAGAAAATAATAACTTCCTACTATTATATTAAAACTGAACAGTGAGTGAGTGACCCTCATTTCTTTACACGACCGGGGTTAGATGACCAAGACGGCAACTCTAGATGCAAACTGAGGGCGTCCAAGAATTTACTGCTCATGTGCAAGTTTCTAGGATCTCTCATTGGCGTCCAAAAATTTCAAACTTTATGACTCTACCTTGATATTTTATTGTCAAAATTGGTCCTGGTTCTGATCTAAATAGTGAAAATTGGTCCTGATTCTTGACTAAAAAGTGATGACTGCTTACACGAGTGAGACATTATTATTGACATACAAATCAGTTGAACATGTGAACACAATTTATAATAAGTTGTTTTTGTATAATGAGATCTGCATTTAGAAAGATATTGCTCGTGGAGAAGTAGTCAATATTTTACAGGGGATGATGTGAGTAGCTACATCAACACAAGTTAAGACTTGTTGTACCTAAATGCTATTTACTCAGCATGTGACCACGTTCTTTCAACACTTGTCATAACAGATAATTCTAAAATAACATCTTTAGATTTTAAATAAAAATAATGTGAAATAAAAAAGATGTGTCGAAAGACAAATGTGATCACAAGCTGGGCAAAAAATATTTGAACTCCATCAACACAATTATGTAGCCAAAAGGAGACAAGCCCAGCACATGATAACTTTGTGAGGGGCAAGGACACTTCAATGATTTACCAAGAAATCTAGACTTTTACTGTGTGTTCATCATTAGGGCTAGGGGGCTTTCGCAATATTCCACGCTTCTTTAATTCGTTAGGGTTTATTTAAATGTGACATAAATCCAAACTTTTTTATGTTGTATAGTATAAGTTTCCTCTTAAATTGTAAATTCTATTAACCTGTACTAAGATTTGGACGGAATCACCTTTTCAGCAAAACATGCCTTTAAGGTACATGCATTTTTTTTCAAAAGCCTTTAAGAACATGCATTATTCTATTCGCGTCATACATGCATGGGATCTTTCTATTGGAGATTAAAAGAATGAGTAATGTTAGGGAGACTAAATTTATAGATTAGATTTTATAAACTAAATGACATGAAAGTTGATCATGATTGAATTATTACTTAAACGTTGATAAATGTGCTCATTTATTATTGATAAAACATCATTTAGTTTGCAATATAAGTCTACAAATTTAGTCTCTTTAGCATTACTCTAAAAGAATTGAGCTTCATAGACCTTGAGGTTGATTGAGGTGGTGGGCAAGAATTGCCGTGTCCTACATTAATTAGAGCAAGTGATACTTTGCATATGCTTGTCTAAAAAGTAAATGAAATCAAAATGGAAACTAAAACAAGAAACAGTAATCATTTGATGATGAAGTCGAGATTACAAATGTTACAAATGTAAAATCTAGGCCAAGCTACATAACTTGAAATGTGAATTGACTAGTAATGTAAAGAAAGTAGTAAAACTCTAGCAAGATTCAAGCCATGATGGGTTGATAATGCTAGAAAAGTCCACCGAGATCACTAGTGTCAGATTGGACTTAGTACGAAACATGAGCCTCATAGAGGAAATCAGGGTTATTGGAATTGCACATCAACCGTATCATACCACATGGTGGCAGAGTAGTAAAAGTTTTAAACTCAAGTATCGTAGGCAGTGTTTGCTTCGAATGAAGGCTTTGAAATTGCAGTTGAAAAGCTATAATAGTTTTGCTGATTAGTGTGTGCTGAAAAACAATTAGGTTGATTGAAGAATCACTCAATATTTTGTTTAATAGTAGATATTAATTTGATGAAGGTCCTCAACTTAAAGGCATATGGTTCTATTTATAAGCAATGAAGAAGGAGCAATCTCGATCATATTGTTGAACTGGAATAAGGGTAGATCGATCATTTGGTGCTGCCAGTGACTGTAATTCTTGGTAGGTGTCTTTCAGCTATGTCTTGAGGCAGTTAGCACTATCGCACTATTGACCTCATCGAGTTGGATGACACGTGCGTAGACACTTAGGGCTTGGGATTTTTTTGGATTCTGGTTGTCTGCGTGGCTGACGCGCTTTACCGAAGGACTTGTTCAAGGCTTTAGACATATTGGAGTGACATGAGATGGTTGTTTGAGCCCTAATTTTGGGTTTCGAAGTTAGTGGGAGGAATCGTGTTGTTTTTGCTAAATAAAAATGAATAGACCCCATAATAGGCCTTATTTTTATTTATGGCCCAAAGAGGGAGTTCCATTCTCTTAGAACATGTGATCCAAAAAAATAATAACTTCCCACTATTATATTAAAATTGAACAATGAGTGACCCTCATTTCTTTACACGACCGTGTTAGATGAACAAGACTGCAACTCTAGACGCAAATTGAGAACCGCTCATGTGCAAGTTTCCAGGATCTCTCATTGGCGTCCAAGAATTTCAAACTTTATGACTCTACCTTGATATTTTATTGTCAAAATTGATCCTGGTTCTGATCTAAATAGTGAGAACACAAATTATAATAAGTTGTTTTTGTATAATGAGATCTGCATTTAGAAAGATATTGCTCGTGGAGAAGTAGTCAATATTTTATAGAGGAAGATGTGAGTAGCTACATCAACACAAGTTCAGACTTGTTAGTGCCTAAATGCTCTTTACTCAGCCTGTGATCACGTTCTTTCAACATTTATCATAACAGATAACTTTAAAATAACATCGTTAGATTTTAAGTAAGAATAACATGAAATTTAAAAGATATGTGTCGAAAGACAAATGCGATCACAGACTAGGCAAAAAATATTTGAACTTCATCAACACAATTATGTAGCCGAAAGAAGACAAGCCCAGCGCATGGTAACTTTGTGAGTGGCAAGGACACTTCTATGATTTACCAAGAAACCTAGACTTTTACTGTGTGTTCATCATTAGGGCTAGGGGGCTTTCGCAATATTCCACGTTTCTTTAATTCGTTAGGGTTTATTTTAAACTTGACATAAAAATAAAATCAAGAATACAATCCAAACTTTTTTCTGTTGTACAGTTTAAGTTTCCTTCTAAATTGTAAATTCTATTAACCTGTACTAAGATTTGGAGGGAATCACCTTTTCAGAACATGCCTTTGAGTACATGCATTTTTTTTTTCAAAAGCCTTTAAGCACATGCATTATTCTATTCGCGTCGTACATGCATGGATCCTTCTCTTGGAGATTAAAATAATGAATAATGCTAGTGAGATTAAATTTTATAAACTAAATGACATGAAAGTTAATTATGATTGGATTATTACTTAAACGTTGATAAATATGCTCATTTATTATTGATGACAAATCATTTAGTTTGCAAAATATGCTTACAAATTTAATCTCTTTAGCATTACTATAAAATAATTGAGCTTCATAGACTTTGAGGTTGATTGAGGTGGTCGGCAAGAATTGCCGTGTCCTACATTAATTAAAGCAAGTGATGACGATTATTCCTATATTTTATTTGAATTAGTTGTTGAGATTATCCAACAACCTATTGATGCATACTTTGAGTATGGGCTGCTTGGGAGTTTTGGTGTTTGACAGGATGCTTGTGATAAGATAGTCGATGTAAAAGGAAAGGATAAATGTTTGAGAGAATCTTTGCCAATATATTATTACATGATAGCTATAGCTATGCTAAATATGGCATGGGAGTAAGTGGACACACGACATATATGGAGAGGTGCAACAATTCAACATTCATATTCATTTTTTAAATCTTTAATGGCGAATTTGTGTGGTGTGTATTGGTGATGAACGGTAGTTTAGGAGAATAGTGGGGTTTTCTTAGAAACAATTAATTAAAATTTTTAATGCGGTGTAGATAGAAATATGATGAACTTAGATAAGAGGTGGTGTTTAAACAGAAAAACTCTTAACCAATTAAGTTATCTTGTCAGCCACTTCGTACTACGATATAGTGGTTTAGTCGTATTTCTCTTTACTTGTAAGTAAGAGGTCCTAAGTTCGATTCTTGCCAAATCGTCTTGTAAGTAAGAGGTCCTAAGTTCGATTCTTGCCAAAGACGATTTTGAACCACATTAATATTATTGCTAGCACATTGTGAGGCTTAGCCTACTGCCTCACCCCCTTGGTGTAGATAATATCGTTTGTTAAAAAAAAAAAAAAAAAGGTTACCTTGTCAAAATAAATCTTAAATGCTTGCCATTTGGCTTTTTCGTTTGAAAATCTCACTTTTACTCTACATTTTACCCAAATTTGGAGAATTTTGTTACTGCATCACATGTAAGATCCATCCACAAAAGATCTACACTTCAATCAAAAGAACTGTTCTAAAAACCTTCACCTGGCGCTGGCTAGGCCCCACCTAGACGCTAGGCGGCTGGCTACTGCCCCAATTAATCGTTAGGTGTTTGAAAATTAAGAAATAACACTTAGACCTACTTAGGCACCCCGCCTAACCCATTTAGACCCACCTAATCACCCACTTAGGTAGCGACTCTCACTTAGACAGAAAATAAATAACTTTCATTTTGCATTTATTTTTTTAAATAAATTATAAGAGAGTTGTTGAATACTTAGATGAACAATCATTATATTTTGGTTTCCTATGTTTTCAGTATGTTCTAATACTGTCTAATTTATGACATTCCATTTTTCAATTTATGTATCCCAATATAATTATGTATTTTTAAGTATAGACATCCCATTATTTATACAATATATAATAAGTTTACTTAAATCTGCCTAATTTATTACCCGACTAGCACCTACTATTTTCAGAACCTTGATAAAAAGAAATTGATAACCCAAATTGGTACGTTAAATAGTAATTCTTCTAAATGAAGCACGTCCAGGTACAGCCTCTCAAATTCGACCACTCTTCACATCCCATTGGGGTAAAATCCCCTCTCCTAGCACATTTAACATACAAGAGACCATGAGATCGTATCAGATAAGGTATATATATAACAGGTGGGTTCTACTTTTAATACACCAACCTTCAACTATATATATATATGACCTGAACACACTCTTACCGCATACTTCTATGAAGAAAACCGATTTGGCCTACTTATCTTCATCCACCTCTTCTTATGAATAGGAAATGCCCTAGAATTAATACAATTCAATTATCGTCTCCTTCTTACGATTCAAAAACAGCCTGAAAAAGAGTTTGATTCTCATCCTCCTCTTCTTGTGAATCCAAATACCGTAAAAACAGAGTTTATTCTCATCCTAGTAGGTCGGTCTGCGAGAAACTAATCATGAAGAAAGAAATATTACCTAAACATTACTGACAAGTGTCTGTTGAGTCTAGGAGCCCAAGCAGTCAATTCTTGTCAGCCTCTTCCTCAAAATCATTACCATAGAAATAGAGTTTGATTCTCACTCTTCTCTTCCTACAAATCAAAATACCCTAGAAATAGAGTTTAATTCTCGTCCTTTTCTTCCTTCCAATCACAATGGATTTGATTAGTTGCTGGAATGCGAGCACAAGGGACTACTCAACAGTGAATCAAGCAAACGGTGCAAGTTCAAACAAGTTGCCTTCTTCTAGGTACAAAGGAGTAGTGCCGCAGTCAAATGGCAGATGGGGAGCTCAGATATACGAGAAGAGTAATCGTGTGTGGTTGGGAACCTTCGATGATGAAGAAGAAGCTGCTAAAACCTACGACATTGCCTCGCTAAAGATCCGGGGTCTTGATGCTATCACACAGATCAGTCGAAACCAAATGAAACCCTACGAATGTGATGTCACCGAGGCCCTTTTCTTGGAGTCGCATTCCAAGGCTGAGATAGTTGACATGCTTCGAAAACATTCTTATGCCAACGAGCTCGAGATGTACAAGCATAAGTTATACAATGGTTGTGCGGCTTGTGCCCTAGGCCTTGATGATGGCGGAAGGCGTATGAAGTGTTACCATGATTTAATGGACACGTGTAGTAGCGAGAGGGAGTTGCTTTTCGAGAAAGTGGCAACACCAAGCGACGTAGGTAGATTGAACCGCATGGTTATACCAAAACGACATGCCGAGAAGCATTTTCAGGTTCATCAGAGTGTAGGGTTTGGTAAAGGAGTGTTATTGAAATTTGAGGATGAGGTGGGTAAAGTGTGGAGGTTTGGGTATTGTTATTGGAGTAGCAGTCAGAGTTATGTGTTGAGCAAAGGGTGGATTCGGTTTGTGAAGGAGAAGAAGCTGAAAGTTGGTGATGTTGTGAGGTTTGAGAGATCGGTAGGGGAGGATAAGAAGCTGTTCATTGACTGTAGATCTAGAAACCTCGACATTTCGGGGATCGGGGAGATGCATGGTACTGTCGGTGACCCTCCAGCGACGGTTCAAGATGATGGAGTGGTGAGGTTGTTCGGCGTCAACATATCACGGAAACATGTGCATTGCAGAGAATAGCAGGTGTTGGAGGCTTGGAGCATGTTCAATAAGTTTGAAAGACGCTTTTTTTTTCTTTTTTTTTTTTTTTGCTTGAACAAGAGAGAGCCTTCCTTTGCATGCATGCAATTAGAATAATTATATTTCAAAAGGCTCGTGGCATATATAACGATTGGGTATTTTTCCTGATTTTCGTGTTTAATCAAAGAAGAAGAAGATCCTAATCCCTTTGTTCTGTAACCAAATGACTTAGTCATTATTTTGTAAATTTAAGGTACGTTATGTTTACACACAAAACTATACTTACTAATGAACTCTTTAATGCAAGTGAATAATATAGTTTATCTGTATTAAAAGGTGTGTGACAAAATATGTTATCTATACATGTATGCTAAACACAAGTATTGTAATTTTCTTCTCATCTCCAACTACTTGCATTCTTTTCTTCTTTAAAAAAAAAAAATTACTAAAAATAACTTGAACGGAAATGAAAAACAAGGATTCAAACTTCAGCCTTGACAAGCTACCTACTACAATATAGTGATATTATTTTCTCACTTGTGAGTATATTATTCATTTGTGAATGACGAATTCGATATATACCAAATTATTATATGGCTAGCTAATTGTATGACTTAACTCAAATTACCAATCCTTAATGTAAACATATCATTTTATTCAAAAACTTCAGCTTTAACGTAAGACAATATTGTAAGGAGGATTTCCTTTTTCAATATAGACTTGATATCATTTTATTATACATATTATAATTTGAACCAATCATTTTGTTTTTAGCTTCTTGAAATATCATCTACCTATAAATTCATTAGATTTTGAAGACATTTAAATATTCATATGTATCCAATAAGTCGATAGTTATGATAACAATAAAATGATACAGATAACTAACTACAAGATGACTCACTACATATGACTAAAGATCATACAGATGACTAACTACAAGAAAAAGGGAATATGCGACGAAATAATATATGAGACCTATAAATTCGTCAGATATGCCTATAATATGTGACGAATTTGTGTAGGCGTCCTATTAACTCGACACAGAGAAAATGAAGTTTCGGGATCAAACCAATGTCCTATTCTAGTGCACTATTATGCGAGATAGTGCAGTGGTTTTCTACGAGGCTTTGCTCAGCACATAGAATTTGACGTCGAATACATATACTAAAAGTGGGATTTCTTACCAAAATAATTTTATTATACACTTTTCACCAATGTATTTTTTTTTCTAATTATAAAAATTTTGAAATACAAAATAATATTTTTAAAATATCAATAACAATTTTTATTGATTATTATTATTTTGAATTGAGAATTATGTTTATATTATTTAATTGGATAAATATACCCAAATCTTAAAATCCTAGCGTCACAGTTCTCTTCCCAAACTTCAACCCAGTCAGTGCCTGTCGGACATTGATCTGCTCTCTTCCTCTCCATCTCTTTCTCTTGCCCTCCACCACAGTGGTGGATTGTCAACCCCCCATTTCCATACTCTTTTCATACTCTGTTTGCGTAGTTACGGTTAAGTCACGGCAGCATTTTATATTAATTTTTTATAGAAATAATAAAACAAAAAATAATAGGAATATAAAATGTTGACGTGGCTTAACCGTAACCACACATCACAGGAGGGCATGGGTAGAGTATGAAAATGGGAGAGCAGACAATCCACCTCCCTCCACCACATCTCTCTCTGTCCCTAATTTCTAGACGTCAATGCCAACCACACGAGAGATTTTTCAGTGTGATCGGCACACGAGATGGTACATCACGTGTCACTATATAAATGATGAGATATGTGTCTTAAAAAGTTAATAACTTAAAAAATAAAATTTCACACCACTCACATAAAAACACGTGGTGTACCACTTGTATTCCCATTACAATAAAAAATTTCTCCAACCACACCAGGCACGATCATGACCTCTCTCTCTCACACAGGTTTCCAGGTTTGATTTTCAGCTTTTAATTTTAGGGAAAATTTTTATTGATTTTTGACTTTTGAAATAGGTCCAATTTTCAGTGATTTTTGACTTTTGAAATAGGTCCAATTTTTAGTTACTTTGAACCCATATCAAAAGACCCCTTAATTTTACTTCACAATTTTGTTTAGTTTTGCTAATTTACGCCGGCAGATCCCTCCTTAGTCCTTAGGCTCCTTTGTTCCTAGGTAAAAAGGAATTTTGTATTATTTTATATGTTAATTCCATAGAAACCTAATTTAATATTTTTGGTTAACAAGCTTGTCTAATTTTTTTTTTTTTTTTAAAGGGGACAACTATGACAAGACACGGTTATCCACTCCGAGGCCCGGAAAGATTCACAAAGACATTTCAACCTCCTTCTAGCCACAAGTTTGGTTTTCACATCAGCAACGGATTTCAAACCCATATAAACTCACTCTACACCAGTCTAAATTTTAAATATAAATTGTTTGTTTTGCCTTATTGTATAATTATCACCAAGTACAAGATAAAATTAACACTTAAACCAAATGTATCAACAAACCCACGTATATAATAATCAAACCCTTGTCATCACACAATCTTTCGTCTACGATTCTATGATGGCTAAAACCCTAAGACGTTGTCAAAGAGAAAAACAAGCTCTTTTGGACAGATGTACAGTGATTTTGAAGTTTTAGATCCTTCAAATACAGTATGAATCGAAATATGATAGTTTATTCTATTTGATTTCAATTATTTTCGTTCGGGTTTAGGAGCAGTTGTGTATTGCCTGCAAAAATTGTGGAAGTGCTACTATTGGAGGTCTAGCTAGGGGCAGTTGTAATCTTGAGATTCCAGAGACGAACTGGCATATAAGTTTTGAAGACATCCATGCTGAAATGAAACAACTTATCTTTCAGTAGCTCGAAGACGTTATAAAAGAAGGTTATCTTCAAGCATTATATTGGATAGGTACTTATGCATTAGTAAAAAGAAATTGCAAAGAAAAATTTAGTTGGAGCGTGGCTGATGAAGAGCATAACATTCTAATGCTACACTATGAAATAGATATATGCTTCTACGATGATTTTAACAAGTATCAAGTAGAGCAGTGGCTTATGAGATCCACACCCTAATTCCAAATCCACGATGATGATGAGCTAATTATTTTAGATTGGTGTACTTTCTCATCAAATGCCCTTGAAGCCAGACAGTGACGGATCCAAGATTTTAGTATGGGGTGGTCCTAACTTTAAAGCTCCAAAAAAAAAAAAAGACCAAAATAATATTGAAAAAAAATAAAAATGACAAAGTCAGTATCTGTCTATCAAAATAAAATAAATATTTTTGTTTTCTTGAAGTATAACTACATAATGTGTAACTCTTATCGTGAATGCGAGAATATCAAAACTCTTGCCGTTAATACAAAGACAAACACTGTGTTCGATCACTTGAGTGACAAGTCCTCACAACATGCACTAATAAATAAACTAGGCATCCCAAGAAAAACTTGCATAACTAAACTTTAATTAGGGTTTTGGGATCAAAGAGAAGAATGGAAGACGTTTGCAAACTAGAGGCTAAACCCAAATGCCAACAAAGATTATAGGCCCACTACCACTGGGCAGTAGTCATCAATAAGCATAGAGGAGGATGAGCTAATTATTTTAGATTGGTGTACTTTCTCATCATATGCTCTTGAAGCCAGACAATGGCGGATCCAGGATTTTAGTATGGGGTGGTCCTAACTTTAAAGCTCCAAAAAAAAAAAAAAAGACCAAAATAATATTGAAAAAAAATAAAAATGACAAAGTCAGTATCTGTCTATCAAAATAAAATAAATATTTTTGTTGTCTTGAAGTATAACTACATAATGTGTAACTCTTATCATGAATGCGAGACTATCAAAACTCTTGCCGTTAATACAAAGACAAACATTGTGTTCGATCACTTGAGTGACAAGTCCTCACAACATGCACTAATAAATAAACTAGGCATCCCAAGAAAAACTTGCATAACTAAACTCTAATTAGGGTTTTGGGATCGAAGAGAAGAAGAAGACGTATGCAAACTAGAGGCTAAACCCAAATGCCAAGAAAGATTATAGGGCCACTACCACTAGGCAGCAGTCAGCAATAAGCATAGAGGAGGAGGGTAAGTTTAAAGTTTTTTATCGGTTCGAAGAGTTGAGGAATCCCAAAGGCAAAACGAAATGATTACTTGAATGAGATTAGGACTCCCTTGATATAATCTTTCCCTTTTTCAAAGTCTTTAAATTGATTTTTACTTTGAAGTGAGTCCCACCTCAGGCACCAGTGTGTATGGATTGAAGAACCTCACGTGGAGTCTAAACCAAAGGGATGTGACCGGATGTCCAATGACAATAAAAAATGCACGCTTTCCAATTTTTTTTTAATGGTTTGGCTCAAAATGGTCTCGTTTTGACCAAATAATTTGAAAGAAAAAGAGTCTTCTTCCTTATCCTTTTGTTTTGCAGAAGGTGCTTGGCAACCATGGTTGCTCTTCTCCTCCACCACAACCCAGATTTGGGTGGTCCTTAGAGGTTTTCATAGCTACTTTTCTGAGCTTTTGGGTGGTCCCTTAATAGATCCACCTCTGGCGCTAGGGGTTAGTGGGATTGACCTAAATGAATCAAGTTTATATGTGAATGCAAGCGTATTTAAATCTGAAACTGAAGTGCCACTTAGTACTATGGATTTAGTGAAGTGCCACTTAGTACTACGAATTTAGTGCTATTCCTCTTCATTAATAATTGAGAAGTCTTAGGTTCGATTCTCGTCAAAGACGAGTTTGAATCACATTATTACTAGTTCATTATGAGACTAAACCCACCCTATCTCCTTTAGTGTAGATAATATCGATTGTTCAAAAAAAAAAATCTGAAATTGAAGTAGATACACGCCTAGAAGATACATGGGATGAACATGAAAGTATAAATTTTTTTTTAACAAACGATATTAAATTTACACTAAAGAGGTGGGAGAGTAGGCTAAGTCTCACAAATGATCAGCAATAATATGGTTCAAATTCGTCTGTGGTAAGAATCAAACATAAGACCTCTTATCTGCCAATGAAATAGAATATCATTAAATCGTAATACTAAGTGGATGTGAAAGCAGAAGTTAAACAAGAAAGATTTTAGGGAGATGCTGCCAGCTGAGATGAGCCTAAAGGCGGAAGTTAAACAGAAAGGAAAGTTTCCTACGTCATTCCACGTTCTTTCTCTGCTTCGCTACTCTTCAAAATATTTTCCCGTTTCCTCTATATGTTTCCACGTTAGACTTTTATTTTTTAATTTGGTGCCAAGATAAATTCAAATATTGAATTGGGTTATTTTGTGAAGGTAGTATAGGTAGTAAACTTCGGTTAAAAATGTTGATGATTTAATTAAAAATAATATGAATGTAAAGAGTAAATTAGATGTAAAGTAAGATTATATTAGTTCAAATAAAAATTTCCAGCCAAATTTGATATTGATTTGGCAAAATCGTGTTAATTCC